AATGACATGAGACAAAGTATATGTGAACTGCTGTATGAAAAGTGAATTTACTCTGTAAATCTTCACCCAAATCCTAAAAAAAAAGATAAGTATACCTTTCTCCACCTCCCTTTCCCTATTTCATATGGTGGTGACTTTCATCAGTAGTCCGCTGGTCGAAGGGTATCAGTTTGGAGAAAAATGAGCTGGAGACTGAGTCTGGGTCCAATGAATCTCACTTATTCAGAGAGGGTACACAATTTTATCTGAACCAAGTCAGCTGTGTTCCACTAGAGCCATCAGGGTTGGCTGCAGTAGCCTCTGCAGGCTGGTGTGCCCATGCCTGTACTGAAGTGTGCCTACTGGAACAGCAGAGGTTGGAGAGCCCTCTTTGCAGTGAGGATTGTGGGTGTTGTGCTGCTCCTGTCATTCAGGTGCTCAGTTAAGACCTTGACTCAGGCCGGGCCTCCATCAGGAGACGCAGGTCCAAGGCCACCGTGCAATGGCAGAGGTGCCTGTCTTGGATCCATGGCCCTGCAGCATATCCTGCTTCTCAGCCTCCTGCTCGTAGCAGAGGCAGCAGCACCTTGGGCCACCTGGCATGGCTGTTTGCTCTTCCAGGTCTCTTAATCACTCTGCAAGCTACTTATAAAAAACCAGTGTGCATCATGGCAACCCTATGCCTGTCAGGGAATTGTGCTCTACTGAGTTTTCAATTTTCTGGAAGTAGATCTCCAGGCCTTTCTCCCTAGGTGCCTCTGGGTGGACATGAACCTCCAACCTTCTGATTAGTAGCTGAGCTCCTAACTCATTTGTACCACCCAGGGACTCTTTAGCTGGTCATGCAGTTGTTGTTGTTGTTAGTTGACTCCAATCACGGCAGTCTACAATCGCTGATGTGTTTGAGTCCATTACTCTGGTCACCACATCATCCCATCTCATGGAGGGTTCCTCTCAGTTTTGGTGACCCTCTCCTTTCAAACATGGTGTCCTTTTCTAGCAACTGGTCTTTCCTGATGGTGTGTCCAAAGGAAGTGAGACAAAATCTAGTCATTCTCACTTCTAAGGAGTGTTCTGGTTTAAACCCAGACCTCTAGCCAGGTGCTCAGGAAGCCAACCCTTCCCACCCCAGCACTGCACTCACTCATTCTCCTTCAGTGTAGAGGTGATTTTCAACTCCAGGTCCCTCTCATTTTCCAGCTCTGTGCACAGGCGGCTGCAGGTGGCCTGGAGGCGCCCCACTGCGGCACTGGGAGGGTAGGTGGCAAGGGAAAGGAGAGAAGGTGGAAAAACAAGTCAGAACCCACAATCACAAGGAGATAATCTGCAAGCCTGTGGCCAAGGTATATTCTGGAATCTTCCCTCATGGCCATGCAACGCCTTCACCTAGCCTTATTTTCATCGCTTGGTCAGAAATCTATCTAAACAACATGAGACCACTTTCATGGACTCACTGAAGGCAGGCATCATGGCTCACAGCCTTGTGGAGTTCTTGATCTGAGAGGGTTTGGGTCCTACTCAGATGCTAGCTTTGTGTAGACCTCTCCTCTCATTACCTCCAAGGATATGGGGAGCAGCTCCCCTGACTACCAGGCCCACAGCATGACAGGCTGTGCTGTTTCAAGGCTCAGGGGAAGACAGACAGGCACACGTGTTCAATGACCTGAGGAGCAGAGGAGTGGCTAAAAAGGTGGGAAGGGTCTCCTGGTTCCCAGTGGCCATGACTTCTTTACTTTATGCCCCTCTTATTTCTTGTGGTTGTGGCTGTCCCAGTGCATGAAGCCAATCAGCTCAGGTGGTTACATTCTGAGACAGACCCAACCATGGGGAGGGGTGAGCAGGTGATACCTCCTCTCAGTGCTGGTCAGCATCCAGCATGCAGTTCCTGGGTCTGCTGGGAGAACAGGTGGGTGGGGCCTGCTTTATGACACCTTAGGGAGCTGCTTGCAAAATTTTATCATAGAATCTCTGACACAGAAATGATGCAGGAGATTGCATAATAGAATTTTGTAAGACCAATGATTTATTCATTGCAGATACCTTTCTTTCAACAACATAAATGGTGGCTATAGACATGGACTTTGCCAGATGGAACACACAGAAATCAGATCAACTACATCTGTGGAAAGAGACAATGGAGGAGCTCAATATCATCAGTCAAAACAAGGCCAGGAGCTAATGTAGAACAGATCATCAATTGCTCATATGCAAGTGCAAGTTTAAGTTGAAGAAAATTAGAATAAATCCATGAGAACCAAAACATGACTTTGATTATATCCCATCTGAATTTAGAGACCATCAGAATAGTATATTTGATGCACTGAACACCAACAACCAAAGACCAGATGAGTTGTAGGATGTCATCAAGAACATCATACATGAGGAAAACAAACAGTCATTAAAAAGACATGAAAGGTAGAAAAGGCCAAAATGGATGTCAGAAGAGAACTCTAAAACTTGCTCTCGAATGGAGAGTAGCTAAAGTGTATGGAAGAAATGATGAAGTAAAAGAGCTGAACAGAAGGTTTCAAAGGGCAGCTTGAGAAGACAAAGTAAAGTATTATAAAGAAATGTGCAAAAACCTGAAATTAGAAAACCAAAAGGGAAGAACATGCTCAGCATTTCTCAAGCTGAAAGAACTGAAGAAAAACATTCAAGCCTCGAGTTGCAATACTAAAGGAATTAATGGGCAAAATATTGAACAATGCAGTAAGCATCAAAAGAAGATGGAAGGAATACAGAGTCACTATCAAAAAGAATTGGTCAATGTCCAACTATTTTAGGAGGCAGCAGAAGATCGAGAACCAATGGTATCAAAGGAAGAAGTCCAAGATGAAAAACAAGACTCTAGGAACTGATGGAATACCCATTGAGATATTTCGACAAACAGTGCTGGAGGTGCTTACTCGTTCATGCCAAAAAATATAGAAGATGGCTACCTGGCCAACTGATTGGAAAGTATTGACATTTGTACCCATTCCAAAGAAAAGTGATCCAACAGAATGGGAAATTATAGAATAATATCATTAATACCACACATAAGTAAAATCTGGTTGAAGATAATTCAGAAAAGATTGCAGCAGTATATTGACAAGGAACTTCCAGAAATGCAAGCTGGATTCAGAACAGCATGTGGAATGAGGTATATCATTGCAGCTATCAGATGAATCTTAATGGAAAGCAAAGAATACCAGAAAGATATCTACTTGTGTTATCTTGACTATGCAAAGGCATTTGACTGTGTGACTCATAACAAATATTGCATAACATTGAGAAGAATGGGAATTCCAGAATAGTTAATTGTTCTCATAAGGAATCTGTACATATACCAAGAGACTGTCACTCAAACAGAACAAGGGAATACTGCATGGTTTAAAATCAGGAATGATGTACATTAGGGTTGTATCCTTTCACCATACTTACTCAATCTGGATGCTGAGCAAATAATCCAAGAAGCTGGACTATATAAAGAAGAACGCGGCATCAGAATTGGAGGAAGAACCATGAACAACCTGAGATATGCAGATGACACAACCTTACTTGCTGGAAGTGGACTTGAAGCATTTACTGATGAAGATCAAAGACTACAGTGCTTAGTATTGATTACACCTCAACATAAAGAAAATGAAAATCCTCACAACTGGACCAATAAGCTGTATCATGATAAACAGAGAAAAAATCGAAGTTGTCAGGGATTTCATTTTACTTTGATGTACAATCAACACCCTTGGAAACAGCAGTCAGGAAACCAAACGTTATATTGCACTAGGAAAATCTGCTGTAAAAGACCTCTTTAAAGTGTTAAGAAGCAAAGATGTCACTTTGAAGACTAAGGTGTGCCTAACCCAAACCATTGGGCAATCCTACTTCCGTAGTGATACTGCCTCGGAAACCCAAGGAGGGGTTGCTATGAGTCGGGGCCGACTCGATGGCACATAACAACAACAACAACAACCCAAACCATGGTATTTTCAATTGTGTTATATGCACGTGAAAGCTGGACAATGAATAAGGAAGACTGAAGAAGAGCTGATGCCTTTGAGTTGGTGGTGTTGGTGAAGACTGCTGAAAGGACCATGGACTGCCAGAAGAACAACTCTGTGCTGGAAGAAGTGCAGCCAGAATGCTCCTTGGAAGTGAGAATGGTCAGACTTTGTCTTGCCTATTTTGGTCATATTGTCTGAGGGGACCATTCCCTGGAGAGGGATATCATGCTTGGTAGAGGGTCAGCGAAGATGCTCAACAAGATGGATTGGCGTAGTGGCTGCAATGATGGGATCAAGCACAGCAAGGATCATTAGGATGGCGCAGGACTGGGCAGTGTTTCATTCGATTGTACACAGGATCTCTACGAGGCAGAGCCGACTCAACAGCACCTAACAACAACAGGGAGCTGCTCAGGGCATCTAGCTTTCCACAATGACCAGGGGGCTTGCTGCGTGTGGACAAGGACAGTGCCAGGGAGAAGGAATCATTCCAGCAACGCTGGCATACACCTGGCCTGCAGGACTCACCTAAGGAGGGCACTGGTCCCTCCATGCCAGGCACTGCCCATGTGCCAAGCCCTGCTATGGCAGGGGCGGGGGCTGTAGGTCACTGGGTCCAGGGCTTTTGAGACTTTGACTCTGTGATCTGTCTCACCCACCAAATGTTCTGTCGTTTTCAGGCCTCTCTATCCCCCAGAGCCAGAGACCTTGTGTCTGCCCCACAGGGCCCCATTGGGCCTTCTCTCTCCTATAGCACAGGGTTGGTTACAGGCCAGCGTCCTAGGGGTTCAGAATGCAATGACCAAGACCTGCTCGTCCTGTTAGCAGATGACTCTGGGCTGCTCACCCAGTGTCCCTGTACCCGAGTTTCTGCATCTGTACAACAGTGCCGACCCCAGAGGGTTGCTGTGAGGATCACAGGAGCTGAGGTGCATTTAGCTCTCCTGCTCGTAGTGACACTCAGTGGGTGTCATGAGCTTGGGTGACTTGCCAAGCAACACCCTGCCCTCCTTCCGGCTGAGCCTAGGCTTGGAGTATCACATCCTGGCAGATACCACCCACTCTGCTGTTCAAGACAAAAAGCAGTTCTGATGCTTTCTTTCCTTAACCTAAAGCCACCAGGGTTTAGTCCACCTGCCTGGCTCAACAACCTCCCTGGCCCTGCCTACTATACCTGTACCCCCACACCAGTCCATCCACCTGGCCCTGCCCTCCTCTCACCTGCCCTGCCCTGCCCCCTCACCCTGTCCTTCCCTACCCACTGAGGCCTGTCCTGGCCCTCCACACCTGCCCTTACTCATCCACTGAGGCCAAATAATATCATTCATACCACACATAAGTAAAATCTGGTTGAAGATAATTCAAAACATCATCTATCCTCCTGCTGTGTCCACCGAGGCCCATCCTGCCCTCACACCTGGCCCTGTATGGAGCCCCATGGTGGCTGCATTCCCCTGACTCATGAGGGATGTCTCCTGCCCCAGCCTCTGCATGCACTTTCCTACTACCCGGGGTGCTTTTTCCCCCAGGTGACCAATGGTAGGCTTGTTTTTGTCACTCAGGTCCCACTGAGAGGATAGCCACATTCCCCGGTCACCTTTCTCCAGAGTGACCCATCACTCTGTCTCATCACCGGGTTTTATTTTTGGTGTGGCCCTGCCCACGCCTTGACTTCCACATTAATGTGCTGCCTCCCACACCTGCCCAAGGCTTGTTTGCCTTGTCTGCCTGAATACAGTAGGTGCTTCATAAACAATTTGTGGACAAAGAATGAAGCCCTGCTGCTCTATGCTTATTAGCCAAGTGACAAATACCAGCTTGGTGACAGTCACCTCCTGGGTCCTGGCACAGACACAATACCTGCCAGGCCACCTAGAGGGAGACTGGGCAGCTGGCTGGACGTCAAAACGTACATGTTGTTGGCCTCCTTCTCCTTGGCGATTTCTGCTGCCATGGCCGCCTGCTGTCTGGTGATGAAGTCGATCCTCTGGCGGCAAGCACGCAGCTCACCTCTGGAAATTGGGGCAAGAACCAAGATGAACGGCGCCTGCTATTCAGTCATCACTGCCCTTCCTAGGAGCCTATCCTTGCACCTGGCTCAGGGCAGGCACAGTGGGCAGGGCGGACCAGGAGCCAGCTGCACACACAACCCTTGGGGTCTTTCTTTCCTCCCCTGTCCGGGACCAGGCTGCAGTCACACAGTGTTCCCAGGGGTCTCCCTAACTCGCCTGAACTACAAGAGTAGTGCTCTGCCCATCTGTTTTCTGGAAACCTTGCTAAGGGGGGCACTCGTGTGACATCCACTCCTAAGGGGACATACTTGCAGTAGCTAAGGACATGGGAGTTTACATGAATCTGCCCAGAGTGCCCTGGTGAGGGCATGGGGGGGCCATAGAGGCCTGGGCCACAGTTCCCAGCAACACTCTAGAATCGCAGACTGAGGAAGACAAACCACCAGCCTCAACTGTGTGGATGTGGACCCAGTCCCGGCTCAAACTCCCATTCTAAAGACACCTGGAGGTCACGCAGGAGGACCACACTATGCTGCTGCTATAGGTTGATATTAATGAAGGAAAAAGCTGTCAAGTTGACTCCATATTGTGGCGACACCCTGTGTGTCAGAGTAGACTATGCTCCATGGGGCTTCTTCAGTGGCTGATTTTTGGAAGCACGCTGCCAGACTTTCTTCCGAGGCAGCTATGGGTGGATTTGAACCTCTGGACTTTTGCTCAGCAGCTGAGCATTCACTGTTCGTGCCACCCAGGGACTCTAGGATATTAGAGAAACACTAATAGCTGTCTTCAGTGCAACAATGGTACCGAGGTTATGCAGAAGATTGCCATTATTTTTAGGAGGCGCTGAAGTATTTAGGAGTAAAGTGTCATGATGTCTGGAACTAGCTTTCAAATAAATCAGCAAAAAAAGTATAACATTCATACATATACACATACATACACAGAAACCTGTAACATACATACACACATACACATACACAGAAAGAAGTTACAGTGAAATGCTGTTCCAGGCAGTGGCATCTGGTTGATGGCCATGCTATTTATCTGCTTTTCTTCTGAATTACCAGGAGCTCTGGTGGTTCGTGTGTTTGGCTGTAAACCAAAAGGCTGGTGGTTCAAACCCACCAGCCACTCCATGGGAGAAAGATGAGGCAGTCTGCTTCCATAAACATTTGCAGCCTTAGAAACCCATGGGGGCAGTGCTATTTTGTCCTATAGCATTGCACTGAGTTGGAATCAACTCAGTGGCAGTGGGTTTGGTTTTGGCTTGGTTTCTACACATTTGACATTCTCCTCAGTCAGTGTTTAGTAGTGCCTAAGGTATTTGACTGCTAGCCAGAGGTTGGCAGTTCAAACTCACCAGCCACTCCATGGAAGGAAGACTGGGTAATCTACTTCCGTAAAGATTTACTGCCTCAGAAACCCAAAGGGGGTCGCTATGAGTCGGAATTTGGCTTTTTTGTTTGTTTGTTTGGTATCGCAGTGTCTAAGACATTTGACTGCTAACCAGAAGGATGGTGGTTCAAACCCACCAGGCACTTCATGGAAGGAAGATGGGGCAATCTACTTCCATAAAAATTTACCACCTGAGAAACCCAATGGAGGTTGCTATGAGTCGGAATTGACTTGATGGCAGTGAGTTTTTTTTTTGGTTCAGTCAGCATTTAGGGTCAGTACTATCGAGGTGGGTGAGGAACGTGGCAGGGCCCTCTGACCTGAGTGCAAACACCACAGAGCAGTGTCAGCAAGGCCCTGTGACCTGAGTGCTAATGCCACAACTGGCACCAGCAAGGTCCTGAAATTGCACCCCCAGGTCCTGCCTGGAGCACTGCAGGCAGTGCTGATGTTGAGAGCCCATCTGCCAGGACTTGGGAGCACACTCCAGGGAACGCATGGGAGCACTTCTCCCAGAGCGTGATGAGATGAGAGGAGGAGCAAAGGGGGCTGACAATCCTGGACACCCACCACCTGCTGCGTGGGGGTTGCTGAGCCTTCTTCTAGGCAGAGACCTGTAGAAGGGCAGGAGACCTCCCAGAAGGGCTCTTAATCCCTGCCACAGACTATTACAGTAAAATCACGTGCCAAGGAGAGTGGGCAGCCTGGTCTCCAGCCACCTGTACATGGTGAGATGGCGAGGGGATCTAGCCAGGGCCAGGGGGCTTGAGAAACTTGGACACAACCACCTTCCCAGGCTGGTAGGGTGGCCCAGTGTTCGCTTACCAACTGGCACCCACCTTGTTTTCTGAATTAAAAGCTCTTTCTCTTCATGCACTGTATCGAGGTGGTTCAGGTCCCTTCTCAGGCGCAGAGCCCGAGCTCTCTCAGCTGTTTTCATCTTTGTTTTCTCAGCATTAGTATTTGGTTCTTTCCCTGGACTTAAAGTAAGGACACCAGCTAATATCTGCACCCACCAGGTCTTAGTCCTTCTCCTGGGGCCTGACCCAGTTCACCCCACACTCACCCCCTTTCTGCGGGATGTGGAGATGGGTAAAGGGGAGTAGACTACAGCCTGGGTTGATTACCAGCAGTATTCCAGCACAGCATCAAGATCTGTTTCCTGGGGAAGAGCTTCAATCTCAAATTCTGGATCCTCTAACCCACCTGTGTCTAGAAACCAAAGCAACAGTCAGAATAACAGAAAGCAGGTCTAGATGTTCCATCTGAAGTTCCAGGGTCAATCTTTGTAGTGAAATGACTTCTTTTATAAGCCCTGTAGCCTTGGTTCTTTGGAATCAAACAGTCTGAGAGACTGTCTCCATAAACCTTGAGAAATTACCTTTGCCCTAGTATTCTACCCCAGAGGGTTTGTTTTGTTACTTTTGCCAGGTTGATTGACATTTCCTGAACAAACTGTAAAAAACTTGGTTTTTGTCTGGTCCTGGGCTACAGTCTACCCTGTGATTGTTATGCATCTTGCAGGGATTGGTCAATAGACTATGCAATGGATGGTTGTAACCTACTATGCAAATGAAGTGTCTTCAGCCTACCATTTGTGGCGCTACGCTAGGAGGGACCAGACCTTGAAATTGACAAGGAGCTGTGTATGTAAGCAGCCAAACCCACAGAGGTTTTTTGTGACAGAAAGACGCAGGAAGAAAAGCAACTGGAAGAAGCAGAAGGAAGGAAGAAGAGAGAAGCACAGAGAAGAGGCAAGGAATCTGCTAAAAGAGCTATAACACAGGCGAAGGCAGGGCTGTAACACTGAAGACCACAAGAGGCCCGGAAAGGTACCAGCAGTAGAGCTGGTGGTGACAGGCCTAGAAGGAGCCTAAGCAGCAGAGCCAACAGTGACAGACAGGAGGGCCAGGAGGAGCCTGTCATCAGTAGCCAAGAAGCTTGCATGATGGAGAGGAGCTGAGAGCGCTGTCCTGCACTAAAGACAGGAGACTTTCCCTCCGTGCTTCCTGATCCTGATCCTCACTTGTAGCCTGTTGATTCTGATCCTGACTTGTACACTGTTCCATAATAAATGACTTAACTGTAAGTATGATCTGTGAGTTCTGAGTGGCCATTGCAATGGATTATCAAATCCAGAAAATAAGTAGCAAGTGCCATGGGAGAGAAAACTAGTATCAGAATTGGTAAAAAGACTGGAGAGTGGAGGTACATGTGACCTCTGCTTCACAGGAATCAGCCTTGGGCTGATCTTGATTCTCATTATCCCACTTAAGTTAGACAGGCTCTGATACTACTACTACCAGCAGCCCCATTGTATAATCTTGACAAGCTCAAACTGGGCAGCAGTGATGCCAAATGTGTCTTAGAGCAGCAGTTCTCCAAGTGTGGTCCTGTGAGCCTTAGGTGCTCTCAGGGGGCCAGGGGAGTCAAAACTGTTCATATGATAATAATGACACATTCACTTGCCCTTTTCACTGTCATTCTCTCACAAGCATACACAGAGTTTTCCAGAGGCCACGTGGCACATGGCGAAAACAGGTTGAATGCAGACACAGATAGGAGAAGCCAGCCACCGTCTATTAAACCAGACATAGAAAAAAATACTGCTGCTATGCTCATACTTACTAAATTTTTTTTTTGGTTTGGGAAAATATGACTATTTTTCATTAAAAACAAAATATTTACATTACATGTAATAGGTTCATTATTACTATTTTTAAAGGATAAGTAAATATTTTAAAAATTGTTTAGGTCTCATTTCTAATAGAGGAAGTGTAGACAGATTTAACTCACAAAAAGAAAAGTTCTCTGGGGTCCTTAATAATTTCTAAGAGTGTAACGGGGTCTTCAGACCAAATGATTTGAGAATCGCTGCCTTTGAATAGACCTCTAGCACAGCAGGGTGAATTCAGCTAGATTGGGTTTATCTCCATCCCTCCTGAGAGCTCAGTAACAGTGACTGAAAAGGAATTTTAAAAAGTATAAATCCTCAATGACAGAAAAGAGAGGACAAAAGAAAGTTCAGAAGACAGAAAGAGGATAAACAACAACTGATTTAATACAGCACAAAAGCTGGAAGATGGGGGCAGGGACCAGGGAATTAAGTTTCCAGATTGGAATGGCCTACCCAGTACCCAGCAAATCAAGGCACACCTTTAAAAATTCAGATAATCAGGATTTTTGTTTTTAAAAACTCAAAAGCTTCTAGGAAAAGGAAAAAAAAAAAAAGTCATACCTAAAGGATTAAGAAAAAAACGGCATCAGATTTCTCAGTGGGGACACTGGAAACTAGAAAACTATAGTCTGCCACTTTCAAAACTCTCAGGCACAATTTATCTTTCATTCAAGTGAAGACTAATACAAGTTGCCTCTCAGAGAAAAACATTAAGTTAAAAAATGCAGTCTCCCTGCAACAAGGGAACTAAAGGGCAGTGGTGAAGCATATCATTTGTCTATCTTGTTGCTGAAATTTATTTGTGAGAGAACCTTCACTATCGTTGTCCAAATTCGGGCCATCATCCAATTCCTCCTCAGGGAACAGGCTAGTATCTTCTTCCATTTTGGGAGGCAGAAATTAGCTATAAACAAACAAACAAACGTCATTCTTTCCACTACACAGCTTCTGAAGGGTTACAAAATACAGATAAACAAGGTCACAGATTTAAAAGGGGAGAAAGAAAAAGCCAACTATGAATTGGATTTCTGCAGAACTAAAAACTTGTTTTATAAAAAGACATTAAGGGAATGTTTTAATTTGACAAGTAATGAGATAGCGGGAGCTCTGGTAGCATAGTGGCTAAGGCACTTGACTGCTAACCAGAAGGCTGGCGGTTCAAACCCACCAGCCACTCCTCGGAAGGAAGGTTG